AACTCATAAATCATCCAACAATAGCATGCTTAAACATAAGTGAATGAAGCATAAATATTTTCCACCAGAGTAATCTTTACAAAATGTATTACATGTTGACATCAAAACTAAATACCCTATGGGCTTACAACTTTCCAAGTCAACACTTGGTTACAAAAAGAAGTACTACCTCTATACACAGAAAGCCCTTGGCTTGATATACATGTAATACAATCAAAACACAAAATAGCCCAACAGTCTCAAGCCTTCCAAGCTATGTCCTTGGAGGTGGCATGCTACCTGTACCTGAAAATGATGTCCCATATAGGGTGAGCCACAGCCCAGTAGAATTATACTAAACCAACTATAAACAATGACTAAAATAATAACATTTAATAGATGGTCCACACTTGTACTCCAACATATGTCGTATTACAGTTTCACGACAGTCAGGCCCATGGCACACTTCAGTTTCCATTTCTTATTCAACTTCGAGTTTGAAAACAAGGCTTAGAACCTAGCCAGATAACTTAATGAGATTAAGACTCATCTTTAAAACACTTTCGAAATTCATGATGGATACACATTTAGATGATGTATCAATAACACATAGAAACATTTCTATACTTCACAATTGATAACGATATACATTTTAGTGCTATATCAAATCAATTCAAACACTTCCATAATCCACACTTGATACACATTGTAGTGCTGTATCAATGTCATACAAAATCCAGTTTAGAGGTTCATTCTCTATCTTCCCCTAAACCGTGGAGTACATCCCCTATCTCCTCCCATACACAATGTATATAAACCTAGATCACATACACGATCAATTAATACATAAAGTTAATGTATTATTCCAACCGTTATACTCGATAGTATACTCAATCGATTAGTTTTAGTTTGCCTAATCGTCATGTATTGTCTACAACAATCAAGACTATCCTCCACCGATAGCCCAAAACAATTATTTTTAAACAGAAAATAAATGCACCAAATGGATAAAATATCAACATTTCAACTAGGTGAGTGATAAATGATCCAACTACACCCTTTAATCCCATACGTTCCCAATTTTAACATTTTCAATTCAACTTCTCATTTCTCAAAACAAATTTCATATATTAATTCATCAATGTAATTAGGGCATTTCCCTTAATTAACAAAACAACCCTAAGGTTCCATTTCTATCAATAACCCAACATTTATTTCATTTCTCCATGCTAAACATGCATATAGGTTTATATAAGTAAAACCATTTCTTTTGTAAAATTACATAAAGGCCCCAAACTTTCTCAAAATTACCCAACAATCCCCAACATATCAAAATGCTAAAATTTAAAGATAAAGCTCATAAAGAGGAGTAGGATATCCCTACCTCGAAGTTAGAGCTCAATCGGAGAAGATGAAGAAAACAAAAATGCTCCAAACACCAAGATTCTCGGATCAAAACGTAGCCCTCAACGATCAACACACTTTTTACAAGGGCCGAAGGATAGGGAGACACTCTAACTAGATCAAACCCTAGAGAGAAGGAAGATCCTAAAGAAAGAGGCTCTCAAAAACGATTTTGGAAAAGTAAGAGAGAGATAGAGGAAATGTAAAAAGTGATTCAAAATTACCCAGCTGTCCACTGATATACGACACTCCAGCTCGAGCGGAGAATAGAACGCTCGAACGTCAAGCACAAAAATCTGGACACGCTCAAGTGCAAGAAGGCTTGCTCGAGCCCCAAGACACAAGGATAAGGTACATCCGCTCGAGCGCGAAAACCAGTCCGCTCGAGCGTAGATTCCCCTCTCCCAGAACTTTCATAGACAAAGCACTACCTGCTCGAGCTCGACCCGCTCGAGTGTAGAAAACCTGCTCGAGCGTGAAAAACATACCTGCAGAAGTTTGGCAGGGACACGAGATACTAGGAGTGTGTAAATCCCGCTCGAGCGCAAGAAGTCCCGCTCGAGTTGACAACCAAAAACCAAACTCTGCTCGAGCGCAGAATGATCCGCTCGAGCGTAACACAAAAAACCTGGGCAACTGCACTTGAGACTAAAACTCAATCTACCTGTTCAGAACACGCCCAATACATCCTATAACTCAAATACAAAGTACGAAAGGATGTAAACAAAATATAAATAACCACTACCATTCACGGAATCAAGTTCGGATCACTGTACAACAAGGGGTAAAACCCGGAACCGCTATACTTCTTTGAACATTTAAAAATTCCGCAAGAGAGCTTATCGCCAAAGAGGCCACCTCCGAAACTAATCTCTGCGTATATGACTTTTTTTTTGTTTAAATAACAAATTAGAAGAGATTATTTGAAATGAAAAGTTAGGCCTCGTTTGGGAAGCGACCCGTTTAGCTAAAAATCCAAAAAGTCACTAAAAAAACCAAAAAGCTGACAACCCATACAAAAAAGTCAAAGATTCTCTTTTTTCTCTATTTTTTGCACATCTTTTCGTAAAAAGCCAAAAAATCATCCCAAACATACTAATTTTTTTTAGCTCATATTTTAGCCAAATAATCAAAAAGTTAATAAATTAGCCTGTTCCCAAACGAGGCCTTAATAAACATGAAACAACTTCTAAATAATTAATTTATTTAAGTTATTTCTGTCTAATAAGTTATAAGTAAAAATTATACCAAACAACTCTAAAATAAATTATAATTATCTCATTTAAGTTGTAACAAACACCCCATTGTAACTAATTAAGAAAATAAATGTTTAAATTGAAGAATTGAAAATATGGATGTTTGAGAGAATAAATTCAAGATTCAGGATTTGATTCACCTTGTTTTTTGGTTTTAAAAAATTGAGCTCACTTTTTAAAAAATTAAATTTTTTACAAGTGCTGCTATTAGTACTCTATGAATTATTTTGAATCACTTAATTTTTAGCTCTTTTTTTATTGCAATAATAACTTCAAATAAAATTACTAAAAAAGACATCATTAATTTTGGGACACTCCATCTCACAAATTAAACCCGCACACCACTGTATTATGAATTAAGGTTTATAAGAGTACCCATCTCTACTACCACCCATCTATCTTTCCCAGATCTCACCTTCAAAACTTACCCACTCTCAAAATCTTGAAAACCCTTTGACGGCAATATTCCAACGATAACGGTGGCAACCATTTGATTATCTACACTTATCTAGCAATGATAATGAGTGAAAATTTTTTCGGCAACCACAACTCCATGAGACGAGAAGAATATAATAATAAAAGTTCAGAGGAAGTTCATAACTTTGATGGTGTTCTTAACTCAGAGGAGATTGGTCTTGTAAGGGTAAGTTTCTTTATTAAAAAAAAAAAGCAAATAATAAAATCTGTTTGTTATTATTTCGGGACTAAACTCCTTGAACATATGACTGAAATTCGAGAGCATAAGGCTGAACATTGTTTATTTGTTCGGGAACCGATAGTTGAACATTTATTATTTGTTCAGGAGCCGATAATAGAACATTAATCACCGAAGAAAAGGATAAGGCGAGAGAGAGAGAGAGAGAGAGAGAGAGAGAGCAGTGATAGTAATCACACTTGGCTCCTCTTCTTCTTCGTGGGTTTTGTTAGGGTTTTTAGAAGAGAGGTTTTTTGGGGATGTGGGGGGTGTACATTCAATTGAATAGGTAAAATGTTTTCACAAGGATAATTTTGGTATTATTTGGGGAAAGAAAAGAAATTTTAAGAGTTTCAAAATTTATAAGTGAGAGTTTAAAGAAACTAGGGGCTCAAAATAATAGATGAGATGCTAATACCACCACTTTTTGTATTTTGTGGTTTTTTTATTCTTAGTTAAAATTTTTAATATTTTAATATATATATTTTATTTTTTAGATGTACTTAACCTAGATATATTTAAAAATATAACATCTATGAAAAAAAATTTAAAATTATGTTTTTATGTATTTATTAAATTCTTAAAATATATTTTTATAAATATTTTATTTTTTTTAAATACATATGCATGCAGAAAATAAAAAATTTAATTTTCACAAAATCAAGGAAATTGATTTTAGTATCAAACCTTGATTTTTATTTTATTTTTAAATTTCTCCATAAATGTTTATCGTTTCCTACTTCATTTGACGGAAACAAGATGGCGTGGGTGGTTGGGAAGTTGTTATTTTAATACGTTATTTTATTTTTTAGTTATTTTAATATATTAAAGTTTTTGTATTAAAAAAGATGATTAGATTTTTTTTATAATTGAATATGATATTTGTGAAAGAAAAAGTGAAATAATTATGAGTTTAATGTGATATTTTATCTTATTAGAAAAGCTATGAAAAAAAAAATAAAGAGATGATGCGATAAAAAAACTAATATTTAAGTCTATTTTGTGTTTTTACTATTTTTTTTCGTGACTTTTAGCGCAAAAAGTTTTCTTTCCAAATTAAAATGTTTTTTTTAGTAGTGTATTTTTTTGAAGCGTTATTCAGTACTTTCGGAATATAAACACGTAGTACTTTATAAGATTTTAATTAAAAAAACATATAAGGGTTTACGATTTATGTTAATGATGGATAAATAATTAATGATTAGTTTAGAATATAGACACATGGGTCTTATTTGGTTTGTGTTTCTCAAAAGATTTTGGAAAAAATCCTCTACAAATAAGTTTTTAAAAGTAATCAAACAAAACAAATTTTTTCAATTTTTTTTTTCAAAACTTGTTTGGTTTACAAATTTTTTAAATAAATTTTTCTCTTATACACATCAAATCAATCACCTTCACCTTTTTCAAAACTCTCTCTCAAAATAATTTTTTAAAATATTTTTTTTAAAAAAAAATCAAACCAAATAAATTTTTATACTTTTTATCTCAAGACACGTTTCTCAAATACAACCAAAACAATGTCAGGGTGTTTCGGGGTATTGAATAATTTTTGTTTTTTAAGACGATTCAAAAGTGCGTTTTGGGGACGAAAACAAAAAGACAAGAATCAAAAAGTGATATGATATCTTCGTCTGCTAGCCTAGGCCTAGCTAAAAATAAAATACACAGAGGAGACGACGGAATAGGAGAGAGAGAGAGAGAGAGAGAGAGAGGGGTTGGTTTGGTGACTACTGTTGTGGTGTGGCGGCGTTGTTTATTATAGGATACGAGGAGGAGGAGGAGGAGTTTGAGAATTTGATTGGGGAGTAGAGAGATAGAGAGATGGGGGCGAGTAGCGATCCGAATCAAGAGGGGTCAGACGAACAGCAGAGGCGGTCGGAGATCTACACGTACGAGGCGCCGTGGCAGATATACGCGATGAATTGGAGCGTCCGTAGGGACAAGAAGTACAGGCTGGCCATCGCTAGTCTTGTGGAGAACTACTCCAACAGGGTTGAGATCGTCCAGCTCGACGACTCCAACGGGGAGATCCGCTCCGACCCTAACCTCTCATTCGAGCACCCCTACCCTCCCACCAAGGCCATCTTCATCCCTGACAAGGAGTGCCAGAAGCCAGACCTCCTAGCCACCTCCAGCGACTTCCTCCGCGTCTGGCGCATCTCCTCATCCGACGAAGACGATGAGGACCACAACCACAACCACAGTACCAGACGACCATCGACGAGCTCTGAGCTATAAATGAAGAGCCTCCTCAACAACAACCGCAACAGCGAGTACTGCGGGCCCCTCACCTCCTTCGACTGGAACGAGGCAGACCCCAAGAAGATCGGCACCTCCAGCATCGACACCACCTGCACCATCTGGGACATCGACCGGGAGACCGTAGACACCCAGCTCATCGCCCACGACAAGGAGGTCTACGACATCGCTTGGGGCGGAGTCGGCGTCTTCGCCTCCGTCTCCGCCGACGGCTCCGTTAGGGTCTTCGATCTCCGGGACAAGGAGCACTCCACCATCATCTACGAGAGCTCCGAGCCGGACACCCCCTTGGTCCGCCTTGGTTGGAACAAGCAGGACCCCAGGTACATGGCCACCATCATCATGGACAGCGCTAAGGTCGTCGTTCTGGATATCCGCTTCCCCACCCTTCCCGTTGTCGAACTCCAGAGGCACCAGGCCAGCGTCAATGCCATTGCCTGGGCCCCTCACAGCTCCTGCCACATTTGCACCGCCGGGGACGATTCCCAGGCCCTCATTTGGGACTTGTCCTCCATGGGCCAGCCAATTGAGGGTGGCTTGGATCCCATTCTCGCTTACACCGCCGGTGCTGAAATCGAGCAGTTGCAGTGGTCCTCTTCCCAGCCTGATTGGGTCGCTATTGCCTTCTCAACCAAGCTTCAGATTCTGAGGGTATGATGTGATTGGATGTTTGATTCGTGGTTTTATTTTAGGGTTTCTCTTCTTCTTCTTCTTCTTCTTCTTCTTAGTCTTAGGTTACAAAAAGGCAAATTAATTGTCCCCCCCTTTTTTTTCTTCTCTTTTTTTCCTTTAATCTTTCAGCCCTTTCATCAAAAACCAAAAAAAAAAAACAAAAAAACAAAACAAAACAAAAAAAATGTTTGTTTAATTTCTATTACTGAACTGCTGTTGCTCTTTTTTTGTTCAGTGATGATGGTGGTACTTGTGCATTATTTTCTGTCTACTTGGTTTGCCTTCCCCCAAGTTAAGAGGTTTTTGTTGACCATGTTACTGATTTAGGGGTTAGGTTGGGCTTTGGGCTGGAATGCATATTTGGCCTCAGAAATTTTAGAAAGAGCTAATCACGTACCAGAAGTTGCTTGCTTTGGGTTACTAGTAAACAGGGGTCATAGTTCTGTGCTTACTGATTCTCGTCATTGGCATATGAGAGAGCCTGTGTTCTAGGAGAAAAGGGTTTATGAACTGCCTAACAAGGTTATCCCATATATCATTATGCTTTGGGAAATTGAATTGATAAAAAACCTTACTTCGATTCAGATATTTCTTTCTGGTAATTTAGTGGGAAGGTCCTCTGTCATAAGCATTCAAGGAAGAGTTAGGAACTCTGGGTTGTTGGGTTTTGTTAAAGACCCAATTTAATTCTATTGAGGCCCACGTGTATCAGTGCAAAAACTGATTCTTTTAATTTTAATTTTTGTAATAATAATATGTTCAGAGTGCATGTAGTTTGGCTAGTTGAATGTAGTCCAAACTTACATATTTAGGACATTCCTCTATGCAACTCCCAGTTTACTTGAACTCAAGTGTATTAGAATGTAGTTGTTCACCATCTAGGTTTTTGTTGTTGCCAAGATGGCAAAACTGTTTTCTAAAATTTTTTAATGCTTATTTCTCAAGATTCACTACCTACTTATTTTCTATTTCATTTACGTGTCTCATAGTTCACTGTTGATTCAACAAAGCTTAGTTGAAGCTTGAGTGCAACTGACATAGCTTTCAAGTTTAGCATGTGGATCCTGGCTGTTGAGTATGCTTGACATGTTACCCTTATTTGAAATTGTTTTTTAAATGGAGTTGGTCGTTGCCTACAAAGCCCAAACAAGCCCCCCAAGCTATACACATGTCCGACACTTGTATGCCCAAGCGCAATTCGAAGAATGAAGGAATTTGTCAAAGCTCAAACTGGTTTGTCTAAGCCCAAGTTGAGCATAACTCGTAGAGCTTGATTTTAAGCTCAGGTTGCCTGAATTAATACAAAAAATATCTTGTGTTTAGAGTTGCTGTGACATAAACGAAAAGGCTCTGATTTGCTATTGCCTTAGAGCAAGACAAATAGATGATTGATGAAAATGGCGCACATAAATGGTTAAGGAGAAAAACGAACGCAGGAGGTAAGTAGAGAAGAATGATTCTACCAAATAATGATGGACTGACTGGCGATGAATAGTTCCTATAGAAAGACAAACTGACAAAGAATGGTTTAGTTGTCATCTTCCTCACTACATCATTCTTAGATGCTTAGGTCTTGTTGGACAACAATGGAGATGGGGCATTCTCTTCTTTGTCATTTTGTAAGCCCTTGCCTTTCAATCTCTATCTCACCTAGGTATTGGATGAGGCTGGTGATGAGGATCTATGTTGCAAAGAGAGAGATGAGATAAATTATGCAGAGGGAGAAGATTTCTTCGTGGGAAAGCGGAGAAACTAGAGCAAGAAGACTTTTTAGTGAGAAAACTAGAGAGATAAGACTTTATTTGTGGGAAAGTGGTAAAGCTACATTACTATAACATGTGAGAACACTTTGGAAAATGGGAAAACCATACAATATTACAGCATTGTGTGTTTGTGTGTGTATGTTGAGATAGTGTTAGAAATCAACTAGGAAGCACGGATACGGGGATACGGATATGGCGATACGTCAAAATCTGAAAAAATAGGATATGGGTACTGTGGGGGATAGGTTCGTAATTCTTTTATTTTTTATTTTTTATAATTTTAATAATGTAATATATATATATATATATAAATAAAACCTAAAGCAAATTGATAAATAAAGAGAGGGATTCCTATTAAGTTAAGAGTCTTCGAACATTCATAAAATATTCAAAACTAAAAACAAAAGTAAATGCAAATTAAACATCATCCTTACATGTCAACTCCAAAAAAAGAACGAGAGCAGAGAGAAGAAACATGAGAGTGAGAGAGCGAAAGAGAAGTAAGAGAGACAATAAGGATACATCAATTTGACAAATTTTATTACATTGACTCTTACTATATTCCTTTTTAATCAAAGAACTAAATAAAGTATTAGAAGTAATATGTGATTTCGAGTATCTGATACTTCAAAATTAAGTATCCGACACTCTAAAATTAATAAAAAAAAATTAATTAATAAGTGTTCGATACGTATCTGCGAGTATCCAAGAAGTATCGGTATTCGATAAATATTCGATACGGATACGTCTCCCTTTTTGAAGTATTCGTGCTTGATGGGAAATCAATTACACATTAATATTCTTATATATAAGAGGAATCGGATTTGGGTTACCTAAACCCTCCCAAGCCTGAATCGAAATTAATTTGGGCCCGTGAGTTTTTGCCTAACCCTAGGTATGGCACTTACAATACTGTCTTAGTCCTAAAATTTCTCGAGCTGGGGTCGAGTTCAATCCACCCAAGTCACACCCTTGCATGGAGGGAGAGATGGAGCTTGGTTTTGGGCCTTTTGGCTATAATACGCTCTGGCAAGTGTGGATTTGAGCCTTGTGGCTACACTTCCATGTGGGCCATTTGGTTATACGCTTTCAGACCCTCTTGGGCTATAAGTTTTCATAGGCTATAAGCTTTCATGGGAGGCTAGGAAAATAGGCTGTAAGCTTTCGTGGTGCCCTAGCCCTAAGCTTAAAGCATTGACCGAGGTCGCTTGAGCATTTCCCTGGCTTGTCAAGTCAAGCACTTTTTACTCAAAATTGCTCTCGCCATTGAGCCCATATTGTGCTAGCGTGCTTCTATGATGTTTGCTCACCTTGTTTGACTCACTTGCAACCTCGTCGAGTGGTGCCATGTTCTCCTTCCAAGGCCAAGGTACCTTGCTCGAGATCACTAAAGGACTTGTGGCTTGGAGGGTAGATAGATTCCAAGGTTCGTCTAGGTGCCTCACCCTTGTCCTTGAAGTGGGGCTCACCTAGACTAGTGTTAGAGAGAGGGGTGTTAGCCATGTTACACCTTGAAAGCCAAATACCTAACATTGAGCTTCTCCGAGACCTCTAAAGCGATGACATATCATTGCTACACACTGTCAACCCCATGACATGATCCCTGAGGTTTGGCCTTAGAATACTAGGGTAGGTTTGGCCTTAGAATACTAGAATACTAGGGTAGTTGAGATGATCCCTACGGGGTCCAAGGGGCTCCATCTCTGGTGATCTCCCACCTTCTAAGTATCCACATGTTATATAATATATATACACATTCCTTGCTGGGTTCCTGTGATGTCGCCATGTCCATGCCTATGCTTCTTAATGTTGTTTCTTAGATGTATAACGAGAGAAGTTTTTAGTTCATATGCAAGTACATTTAAAAATATTAAAACATCAGTACATAATACACGCAAGACAACAAAGCTACGGGTCTTGAACAAGGTTCTTTGGGCAACCTTTGCATATCATTGGATGAAATGGGGCTTCACAGGCTTAAATATGCTCTCTTGAAAGAATTTGGAATCAAGACAGCTGTTGGGTAACGGATGTTTTGCATAGGAGCTGTCTACTTTAAGATATCAAATAATTGGTTGGGTTGGAGCAGATTGGATTTTTAGATCAGAAAAGACTGTTTCATTGGATTGCTATATTCTCAATTAACTAAAAAGTAAAAAAGCATTATAGAGTGTTTTTCCCATCAAGTTAGCACTGGGGCCCTTAGGCACACATTACTGAGAGGTAGCTTGGCCAATGAAGTCAGTAAGTATCCATGATACCTCAATAAGCTTGGAAACTCATTTTCTTGAATTTACTGACAGGTAGTAGTTGCTTTGTTCCCTTCTCTATAAAAGTGTGTCAAAAATTACTTGGATGGTTTCTTCTTGTGGTTCTTATATTGTCTCTCTGATTCTCTATGCATGGACCAAATCCACCAGAGAATGTCTATTCAACTGCAGAGACAAGTTCCGAAGGATTCTGGAAAACCTTTTTATTTTTATCTTGAAGGATGCATGGAGCAGTCCTTTACCAATTATGTTGTGTCATATGATCACTGCTACCTCTATCTTCTTCTTTCTCCCTTCTCTATACCAAAAGGCCGTCCCCATCACCATGCCAAGAAGTTTAAGTCTTGTTTCCTCAATCAGTTAAACAATCTTTAACAATTCTGTTTCCAATGTTCAAATTCCACATAGTGTTTTCATTTCTTTCTTTCTTTTTCAAATTCCATGAAGTGCTTCAATTCAATTCTGTTGCCAATGAAGTTAATTGTTTTCGTCTATATTATGGGAGATACCCACTGTAAAGAAACATGAGATTTATGCTTAACTGAACATTTGAAATTAAAGAGAAAATCATTCTTCTTTGTTTTAGGTACATTGGAGGGGAAGGACAGAGTCGAACCTGTGACCTCTAGTGAGGTACACAAGTTCTAGCCACTAGGCTAACCCCTGGCATTAAATTTAAGAGAAAATTCATGAGTGCAGCCTGTCTACCCTGTCATTTCATTCTTTTGATGGATGTATCGGTAAATATCATTGTTCATGATGAAAATTTTTAAATAGGTCGTCTTCATAATTGTGGCTCTCATTGTCATAGAAGAAAGGAGAAACAAAAACCTCACCAAGTAGTAGACTACAAAAAGACTAGCGATTCATCCTTAAATCAAACATTGGGAATCGCACTAGGAAGTTCACATGTGAAGAAGAAACCATTCCTTCCCAATTCTTTGTCTTCCTTGAACAAGGTGTTGGAGTACTCACATCACATGACATCCAGTGGTATTCTCATCACTGAAATAGTCCCCAACCTTTGCTGCTGGTGTCTGGATCACTGATGGTTGAGATACTGGCCCTCCATAGTTGCAGTTGCCATGTTCCTGGCTGCAACATGTTAGAGAGAGAGGAGGTGCTTGGTATGAATGTATAGGATAAGAGGGTAAGGCAATTGTGCAAGGTTCTATCATGTAGCAATACTGTGTATCAGTTCTGACTTTACCCCTATCATACAACATGCTTGGATGTATGATGCAAGTTACTTGTGGTTGAGGGGGAAGAGTTTTTTCTCTTTCAGTTATGTAAGGGCTAGTGGTGGTGTTGGCCATGCAGTTTGTATCCTTGTGATCCTCGGATGATCTATTCTTGCCTTCCTCCCCTCCATTCACCCTCTCTTTGATCTTATCAGTGGCAGTGACAGTAGCTTCTGAGCATTTTGCCTGCTCACAATACACAGATTTTGATTTTTCTTTATCTTCCTCTCTCGTAATCACTGCTTCTTGTACTTCCTTCTTTTCTTTTCCTGCACTGTAATTCTCGTAGTTCCATATTTCTGCTTGTTTTCCGGATTTTAATAGCTTCCTTATTAAAGTTTGCGGCTCCACATTCCCTACGACTATCACTTTGGGCTGCAAAGGGTCGATTTCAGTCTTGTAAACCCCTGAGATCCGTGAAATTATGAAAAATTAGTGATATTACGGGGAGCTTAATTAAGACCAAAATAAGTTGACTGGAAAGAAATGCGTCTGGGTCTCTCTGCTTTGATTACCTTCAATACTTCGTAATACCTTCTTGACTTTCTTCTTACATCCATCACAACAATTGACTGAAACTCTCAATTCAACCTTCTGGAACAAAGGCAATACTTCGGTTTCAGACTACCAGATAAGAAAAGTTGCATAAAGAAAAGAATGGTGTATGTGTCAAGTGAAAGTAAAAAATGGAGTTGAGCAAGTGGGGATTATCAGGCCTGTCAACCTTGATGTCTACTTGCTTTGCCATGTCTCTTGACTCAGTTTTCTAGTGGAAGTGAAAAGGCACGAGTCGAGCCTGAAGAAGCAAAACACCAGAGAGAGAGAGAGAGAGAGAGGCCTATGCTTGCGACTACTCGTTGGATTGTTAGCCTGTATATATATATGTCAAAAAAATATAAATATAAGGCCAGAAGGTGGGTCAGACTGGGAATTCTGAAGGTTGCTTAATGGCCTTTGCTTTTATTTTATATATAATATATGTAGCTTTTGATATTGTTCAAAGCATAAAGCATTTGAGGACAGCTTTCTCTGCAAGCAATAGTACGCAAATTCACCCTTCCTCGTTCATTTACCGATGTTCTCTTTGTATAATTATGCCTAGCGTTGCATGCAACTTTATTGTTAGTTATTAGATATATAATAGTGATATCATGTGGTCATATTATAAACTACTAACAAAATTTCATATTAATGTCCACCTAATTTTGTTTGTGATATTTTATTGGTCAGGTGACATCATCATATAAGATGTCCCTGTTACATTACATCAATAATTATTCCCACTTTACCACTATGGAGTTGCATACGGAGCTAGTGATGTGTTGTGTACATGCTGGACCGAGGATAAATATGAAACCCAGCAGGTGTCCAGTCCAAGTGATCTTAAATGAGAAAGTAGGCTTTCAAGGCATGAGGTACTTAAGAGTTGCCAAACTTGGCCTTACTGATGTTCTCTTTGTATAATTATGCCTAGCGTTGCATGCAACTTTATAGTTAGTTATTAGATATATAATAGTGATATCATGTGGTCATATTATAAACTACTAACAAAATTTCATATTAATGTCCACTTAATTTTGTTTGTGATATTTTATTGGTCAGGTGACATCATCATATAAGATGTCCCTGCTACATTACATCAATAATTATTCCCACTTTACCACTATGGAGTTGCATACGGAGCTAGTGATGTGTTGTGTACATGCTGGACCGAGGATAAATATGAAACCCAGCAGGTGTCCAGTCCAAGTGATCTTAAATGAGAAAGTAGGCTTTCAAGGCATGAGGTACTTGATCTCATATTTGATCGCCGCTGCGGTGACCTCCATTACCCGCAGTGGATGTAGATATGATGCACCAGCCTCCAACTAATGCCCCTAAGTCAAAGAGGCTAGATTATGGTACGTAGGGCTGTAAATGAACAGAGTCGTTTGTAAACAAGCTCGAGTTCGACTCGATAAAAGTTCATTCGAACTTGATTCATTAATTTATTTTTTTTTTGCATTCGTGCTCGAGCTCGTTAAATTTTTAATAAGCAAGTCCAAATAATTTAAAGTTTGGCTTGTTAGCTGGCTCGTTTAATATTTATTATTTATAAATTAAATAATATACAAATATGTATAAAGAATAAGATAAATATGTTATTTATATAGTTAAAAAATATAAATGTAAATAATAGTTAATTATAGATAGTACATTTATATAATAATGGTAATAGATATTATTATTTTGATAAAATATTAATTTTTTTTAAGAATATTTATATATATTGTATATATAATTGTATAATTAAAGTTTTAATTGTAACTTTAGTCTCATACGCAAATATGAATTTATAATTTTTTTGGCTCATTAAAGCTCGTGAACAAGCTCGAGTTCGAGTCAAGTCTAAGCCAACTTGGCTCGAGCTTGGTTTATTAAATTTTTATTGAGCTCGACCTCGAGCTTGAGTTCATTAAAATCTTAACAAGCCCAAACATATTAAAGTTCGTCTCGGCTCGACTCGTTCGCAGTCTTAATGCTATACTGAGCTTTTCAATGTAGTGCTGCTGGACTCTGGGATCATGGGTGTGGCTTGGTGGCTAGAGATAGAGAGGTGTTGCTCAGTTTGTCAATCTGTGAGTGAACACTATATTTGGTCAAGACCATTTGAGAGAGAGAGAGAGAGAGAGCACCATGAAACCTTTTGTGTGTGGATGCTGGGGATCGATATAAATCTTTTTAACTGATTGATACGGTGTGATACACATGAGCTGGTATATATCCTAATTGAGGAAAATTTGGTTATGGATCATATTAGGAGGTAAATTGTACTCTTTTGCACCACAAGAGTTTAGAGAGGTTATCCCATACCCTAAGGGTCCAAGCTCTGTCCTAACTTAGTGCTATACGAATACATATGCTGTTCATCTGCCTCTCTTGATCTCTCTCTCTCACACAATTGGCAATTGGAGGGATTGCTGTGTCTCATACTAGGACATTCCTTTTGGTTCCCGGTGTATGGTGTATGTGTCAAGTGTCAAGTGCTCCACATAGGCTATAGGCTAGAATCACAAACGTGTTTTGTTAATTTCTTATTAAGAGAAGCTTTACGCTGTGTTTGGTTGAGAGATTTGAGGAGGAATTTGGAAAAGGAAAGGGAAAAGTTAAGTGAAATGTGAATAAAATATACCTATATTTCACCTAGTTTCACACACCTTTTCCCTTTCTCTTTCCAAATCCCTCCTCAAATCTCCTAACCAAACACAACATTAGTGTGACAAGGGATTTTATGAGATATGGCCAAGTGGGGGTACTGCTACTACATTCTGTAAATGGAATGGAAACCATGCATGATGCGTGCATATTGTGTCTGTTTGTATGTCTGTCTCGAGTTTGCTCGTGTAATGTTGCTCTCTCTCTCTCTCTCTCATGGAACATTCATTGACTTCTGGAAAATTGTCTGCATATTTTGGATGGGCTGTTTTTTGTGTATCTTTGGTTGATCTTGAGACCTCAGCACTTGGGTTTTGGTTGGGTTGGGGTTGGGAGCCCATGGTGGGCTTTGTTGGAGCCTTGTATGTCACTTCCATCAAATTTTGAACCCACTCCCCTCCCCTCCCCACCCGGCAACTCCAACCATCATATTCTGAATGTGGCTCGGTTTTTTATTTTATTATTTATAATTTTATATATTGATTCTTGATTGATACTTCGTAATAGTAAATGTTAACTGGGTTTGGTCTGAATCTTGTTGGCAGGCAGCCAAGCATGCATGCATGATTATATATATATATATATATATATCTTCTTTTTTTATATATATATATCTTTTTTTTTATTTATAAGAAACACATTTCTTCTAGTTCTGGTTGCAGGGTATATTTGGATTAACGTGGCAGTTGTGCTTCTTCACTCAAACTCAAACTTCCTTGTTTGTTAAGATTTATATTAATATTAATATTAATATTTTATCTACCTTGGCAGCTCCGCCTCTGCCAATAAAATTGATTAATTTTTTACTACTCCTGCAGCCGAGCTGGGCTTGGCTTGATGCAATCTTTGTTGGAGAAATTATTCAGTGTTCTCCATTTCATTTACTAGTTAGCACTCTCTTTAAAATTTTAGCACAACACTAATGAGCTTATACAAAAATTAAAGTCAATAACTATTCATTTTAAGCATCACTTAGACTTACTTTAAAAGCAGTGAATAAGTCCTCTTTGTTGGTCACTTTCCTTATTCTCAGGGTTGCTGCAATTGTTAATTGTTACTATAATGGAAATTTTAATAATAATAAGAAAAAAATTATAAATGAGTCTTAGGACTAGCATAAAATATGAAAAAAAAGATTTGTATCATACACAAGCGATTTACATCACCATAAAAATGAAATTAATTTTTCACGAAATGAAAATTCCCCTAGTGACAATAATGATGGGATGGGTTGGGTTGGGTTGGGGGTACTTTAGGTGTAATTATTTGTTTATTGTTATCAGAGTACCTAGTTCACTACTATTACATATAAGAAAAATGCACCATTCTTTTCTTTTCTTTCCTTTCTTCTTTTTTCCATCTTTGATTGTCTTTCAATTTCCAAGTGCTGATATTTGTTCCCGTCTTGTTAAAGAGGACAAGGGCCATACACGTGGCTGGTGGACTTGGGATTGATTGATTAACAAGCCAGCCATCCCATCTTTTTCAGAATGATATAATAATTGTTATAATTATAATTATAATAAAATAATAATGGTGAGAGAGAGATGCCGTTCCAAGTTGAACTCCATAAAATGAATAATTTAAGTATGACCCTTTTCTCTTCACCCCTTTGACCCCCTCTCTCTCATTGGTTACTTTTTTCTTTTTCTTTTTTTCTTGCTTCCCCAATCACTGGACTAATAGTTCAATAAAATTATTAATCCGATGTTTGGTTAAACAATTGAAGTATGGACTAATTATTTTAAACTTAACTATTAGTTAAGATAGGATACATAATCCAACGGACTATTAGTCATGGGAATGCTAATCCAGTCCGTCCAAACAAACATGCCCTTATATATAATGAGTGTTTTAAGAAGTTGATTAAAAATTGGCTTTTTAATTTTTTTTTATAAATAAAAAATATGAGAAGTGATGTAACTCAAAATAAATTAAAAATTGACTTTGAACTGAATTACCAAAACAACCCTATATATATGTTGGAGGTGGTAGTTGTGTGGGTTTATTTTAGTTTTATTTTAAAGCAAAGCCAATTCTTTAGTAAAGTGAGAATCGATAATTGGGTGCGTGCGTGTGTATGCATTTATGTATTACAAAATAAAATAAAATAAAATAAAAAGGAACGACTGACAAAAAAGAAAAAAGAGATATGGTTCGATATGTCATCAGGTGTAAAAAAAACACGAAATTAAACGAACCTCTTCTTTTAAAAAGATACTTTGCTTTTCAACGCTTTGCTCTGCTCTGCTCTGCTTAAACCACTACACATTCCTTTCACTTTCATTTTTTCATTATCAGTCTCTAAATTTTCCCTTTTTATTTTTTAATTTATGGGCAGGTGTGTGGTTAAGAGGACTACACTGTCCGTCATTAACCATTATTATTATTATTATTTTATTTTTATTTATTTATTGGGAGTGAGTATGTTCTGTTAATTTCGTTTGTCTAATCTAATCTAATGCATGAGGACCGGTTTACCAACCAAAAGAAAAATATATGTGTACTTTAATCCATAAAAAAAAAACCAATTATATCTCAAATTCCACAATAACAACACACACCACTAACTTATGTTATGTCATCTAAGAATAACCTAATAATCTTATAATTGTCTCAACACCAAATACAGGGAAATCATACTGAAAGGGGGGAGGGGGAAAATGTTAAAAGGAATAAAAGATTAGAATATTTATATGAAGGGGAAGCCAAACTGAAAACATGTATAGAAAATATACATGGTATGGAAATAATAACAAATATATACCCTCTCTTCCTCCCTCTAGAACAACCAGTGTTTCCTCCTTGGCTTATTCTGTATAGGAGCATCTGCACAACAGAATATCCATTTCTATCATTCATTCAAATATCTTTACAACCTACCTTTTTTTTTCTTTTTTTTTTTTGGGAAGCCCACAGTTCTGAAATAACGTTTATGACAAAAACAAACCTTGAATTTCGTGAAGTGAATTGTAATGCACCTCTGACCAAAAACTTAACCACAGCTCTGCACCATGCAAACAAAAAACTGTTAAAACTTTCGAAAGAATATATAAAATTCTTACAAAAATACGTAACTTGTCTTGCGTAGAGATGAAACAGCTGTAGAAGATAAAAGAAATTGTGAACATCTTGCTTCATAGAGAGAGACTACTACAATTACTTCTAACGCTAGTGGCCTGAATAGTAATTAATATTACCTCGTTTAGGTGCCTGATATTGCGGAGTAATTTCAATAAAACAAGTATCTCTGAATGAAGTCAAAAGGCATATCTTTGCAGCAAACTGCAAGAAAAAACCACCACCATAAATAAGCTTTAATCATAGACAATCAACATTGGATTATTTGCTGATATTTACAAGAAATGGCATTCATAAAACAGCACAATGACTACTATGGCCACATTTGAATGTCTATTTTTCTTTAGTCTATTTAATTCAATATAGTTTACTTTTGTTCCGTTTAGACCATGCAAAATTGGTGTATAGGACACATACATCAAAATTGACAAAAAAGAAGCCATATAAGGCAAAACAAGAGTTAGATATTGGATCTGTAGGATTGGGCATGGTTTGGGATTCTTACGATTCCACGACCCAACTAACTCTCACGATGAAGGATCCTACCTAGAAGGGATTTTCTACATGATCTAATCAATTTTACCCAAATGGATTGTAACAACCCATTAGGATTTTAACAACCAAAGTAATACATTTATTTACAACAAAATTCAAATGAAAAATGGTCAGGTCATGCCCATGGCCATTCATGCTCAAGCAATGCCCATGCTAATGGGCCCAACATGGTGCAACACACCTAGAGCTAAACGTGCAGTACCCAACCCAACCTGCCCACTTTACACATCTAAAAAAGAGGGGAAGAAAAATGGGAGAAAAAGAGTATGTCTGAATCTGAAGGTGAAAGATGGATTCTGGGACTAACAACCTATCAGAACATCTTGTTTAAGCATTGAAATGTTCGTTCAAGAAAAAAATAAAAGAAAATTGGGAATGAACATTGCCCATAACCCATCAAAGCACATCAAATACACTACATATTCACAAAACTGGTATGTCAAAAAAAAAAAAAAACCCCTGTTTAAACAAAGAATACTAGACCTTATCAGCCGCTGCTTGTAAGGTAACATGGTCCCCCCATTCACCAGATCTGCATTAAATGAGAATTTGAGAAGGATTTTCACAAATCAATTAGTGAAGTAACTTAAAGCAACAATCATCCAGTGGTGGAAGTAATGATTTTTCAAGTAATAGTGAAGTAACCTACTTGGCCATTTTCTTGTAATAGTGTTTGTACTTCATCGGGACATATCCTTCGTATAGAGACTTGTAGTCTTTAAGCTAGAAAATTAAATGTCATACAACATTAGCAAGTATAAACACACATCAGAGAGGCAGCAAGTATGGACACACATCAGAGATAATAGGTTTGGCATAGCGTACAATGTGCTGACTCCATATTGAAAACCAATTGATACCAGTAGACTAGCATCCCCAGATGATTTGGTCCCTATGAAGCACGGATATGGGCAATAGACACAGATATGATACGATATGATATGGTAAAACCTTAAAAAGTTGATACAGTTGCGACCGTAATACCTTTTTAATTCTTATTTATTTTACATTTTTTATTTTATAAATTCCTATTAAGTTAAGTATCACCACTCGTTGAACCTAAACTTCCCGAACTCATTTTCCCAAAATTATGGATTTTGTAAACAGAGGCAACAACACAACGTTAATTTTCTACAAACTAGCACTAAAACAGCATTATCATCAACAATTTCCTGCAATCAAAATTAACATTTGACATATTGTTAACAATTTAATAGAGCCTCAGTCCTTGAAGCAGAGGAAAAAAAGAAACATGATTTACATTTGACTGTTAAGGATTCAAGTGCTTACTTTTGTCGTGGAGAAGAATTATTGCTTGCTTTTGTTGTGGAGGATTTTTTTTAAAGATTCAACCAATGGAGAAATGAAATAACAAAGAAGAGGAGCCCTAAAAACTGATTTAGCTTTCTTTGTTTGTTAACCATCAATTAGACCTATTTTTAATTTTCCAATTAGACCCTAAAGGTTCGTAATTTAAATACAAACCCTTATTTTATTTGCTCCAGCACCCTTCCCATGTCCGAGCTGTATCCAGAAGCAAAATATTAAAATGATTTATTCATTTGTCGTCTTTTGTGGAGTATATGTGTCACATAATTAGGTCCCAACATCATATAGGTCTCACTGGATTGATAGATAAGTTTTTTCACCATTGCAAATTTTTATTAGAGGGCTAGAGAGATCATTAACAAAGGATCCTTTCTTTGAGATTTTTAAAATTCCTGTTATTAACTAAAATACCATAATAAGGATCACAGATACAGACACAAGATAATGATATGACATGATACGGACACACCGACACAACAATTTCCAAAAAATTAAAATGAAATCAAGACATGACAGGAATACAATACAAATAAATATAAATGAAAATAATAACTACTACTTCAATTTCAATTTTTACATTACTCGTACAATTATATTTTATTATTACAAAATAGTAAAAAATCAATTTTCACATTCTACATATGACAAATGTGAATAAGTCCTAATATTAATTTTAGAAAGTTTTGTTCAAAAACAAATTATGTGTTTTGGATTTTAGAATTCCCAAGAATCAAAAGTTTAAAGAAGAATGGATTAATAGGTATAAATCCATGTTGTTTTTGTTTTATCAAAAGTGTCACATGTTTGGCAATATGTTTCATGTGTGTCCAACTTTCAAGTGATGGACCCCAAGTGTCCTATTCTAAGAAAAAATAATAAAATAATGACACCTGTTAAGAAAAAATAATAAAAATAATTTTAGAAAGTTTTGTTTTTGTTTTTGTTTTAAGAAGTGTCCATACTTCTTAAATACCATCCTTAGATTTGAGAACAACTTTGGTATCACTTAGGGGGTGTAACATAAAGCAAGGCAGGTGTAAGGGGCTCAAATGCAATTCTTCCCCCACAAAATGCACCATTAGAAAAGTCCTTCAGCCAATTAAAAACTACTTTTATAACAACCTGTTTGACAACTTCTTTCCGAACATGCTTGTGATATTCAGGCGACTTATACATCTGTTCTGAAAGAGCACGAAACTGCCAAAAGGAAAGACAAGTCAATAAATTTCTAAGATAATAACACAAAGTCACTTCGGAACTGCACAAACCTGACAATTTCCATCCCCAGAGACTTTCACTTCATATAAACCATAAACATTTAACCTGGAAAAAAAGTGTAAAGCAAGTTACTCATTACCTTATTTTATGATGAAGAGGTAAGATGATGATGACAATGATAAGCACAGCACCTATATCAATAAGAAAAATGCTAACGAGTGCCCCACAGGCCTTGTTTAATATTGGGATTGACATAAAAAGTGTCCTGAAAATAGGTGAAAAGATTAAAGTGTATTGATTTCAATAAGAAGTGAACTAAATTCTTGTGCCCTAGGGGCACTTGTTAGCAAGACCCTATCATTCATCTGACAACATAACTCAAAGTACTGTAGCATGAGGCCCAGCTTCTGCAGAAGTGTTAGGCATAGCCATTTGGAACTTCAACCTCAAAACACTCGCATTAAAAAATAAGAGGAAACATGATGTGTACAACTTCACAGATAAAGTATGTACAAGACATATTCGTGTTTGTATGAATGTAAGTTTATGACACTTGTGTAAGTTTGTAGAGAAAAGGGACAAACTGCAGCAACAAACATGAAAGTACTAAGACTCTAACTCCTTGGGAGTAAAAAAGTCCATTTCTAAACTTGAGTAAACGTGTCAAATCTCATGTAATAAAGCAGGCAATAAATTTTATGTAGCCCATGCTTTTTGGAAAGATATTACGATTTTAGATTCCTTGAGTTTCTAATATTCCAGGGTTCAAGCTAAAAAAACACTCTAGGAAATTCAAAATCTCATATTGAAATCCAGCCAAAAAAAAAGACCTTAATAATATTTCCATAAAAATAGCATACTTCTAGAATCTTGTGTACTTTGAAAAAAGTTTAATGACAAATAATTTCAATATCCTAATGTTTTGGCGCTTAGCTAAAAATCTTTCATATTCTAATTTTCATTTAAAAACGAAAAAACGAAAAAACAAAACTTATATTTAATATAAAAAAAATCCACCAAAAAAGTGAAATTTTAAAACTGCCATGTATAAGACATACCTCTGCAGCAACCGCTGGTGATCTAAACTGGCATCATTTACATTGGGGATGAAAGAATTTATTCGCGGAATATGCTGAAATTTCAACAATACCTATGTTAATAAAAAAATTTACGAGAGTACATTTCAAAATTGAAACACAGCCACCTAATGAAACTACATTGAATCAAAGAGTTGAAGGATTCTTTTGTGTGATATCTGTACATATTAATGACAAGATCAACAGCTCCTAGTCAAAGATAGACTTGCAAAAATTATATATTTTACACAAGTTTGAGTATACTAGGACAACTTGGCATTTCAATATGTGAGCATTAACACCCACAATGATGATGCTTATTTCGTGAAGCAGCAAAGCTCCAACAGGGCATTGATGACTTCCAATCTTGTTTGCTTTTTTTTTTTTTTTTTTTTTTTGTACAAAAATTTTATTGAGAAGAGGCACCAAGGGGGTGTAACCCACATAAAAGAGGAAGAAGAAAAAACAGCTATACATCACAATCTTCATCAAAGGTCTCCCTACAACTAATTCAATTTTGATTGATAGACCAACATGAAGTGGACAAAAATAAACTCTTCAACCGACAACTTGGCATTTCAATATGTGAGCATTAACACCCACAATGATGATGCTTATTTCGTGAAGCAGCAAAGCTCCAACAGGGCATTGATGACTTCCAATCTTGTTTGCTTTTTTTTTTTTTTTTTTTTTTTTTTTTTTTTTGTACAAAAATTTTATTGAGAAGAGGCACCAAGGGGGTGTAACCCACATAAGAGAGGAAGAAGAAAAAACAGCTATACATCACAATCTTCATCAAAGGTCTCCCTACAACTAATTCAATTTTGATGTATAGACCAACATGAAGTGGACAAAAATAAACTTTTCAACCTCAAAATTGGTTCTTCTCCATCCTCAAAAGTTCTTCTATTCTTCTCTTCAAAGAAGCCACGTAATAGCCAAAGGGGCCACGCACCAAACCCTCCTCCAAGAGTCAAGAAGCTTCCCCACATCTGGCAAACGTCCAATCCACTCCAAACAAGAATAGAATCAAGAACCACAACACCTCCTGAGCCACCTTGCAATGAATGAGAAAATGACTTGCATTCTCCTCATCATGCTTGCACATATAACACCAATTGATGTGCACTTACCTCCTCAAGTTATCAACTATGAGGATCTTGCCACGAACCACAAACCAAGGGCAAAAAAAGAAAAACACCTTAGATGGGGGCTTAGTAATCCTCACAGCTCTTTTCATGGTAAGGAAAACCATCTATGACCCGTAAGGGTTTCAAAGAATCCGAAGAATATCATTCATTGAATGACATCACCTTCATCACCAATATGGGGAGCATATTACAAGCATGAAAGGTGATCAACTCCTCCAACTCTCAATCATTAAACTCTCTCTGAACAGCAATATCTCACACACATTTACCATCAAATTCTCACTCACAAGAGCTTCCTTAATAAGACCAACATCGGCAATATTACGGAAAGTCACCTACAACTATTCCTCCCAATGCCAATCATGACTCAAAACCTCACTCAATCCCACTACCCACCCCAAACTAGATGTGACAAGTGAAGAATCCCACACCCAAAGGATGCCTTTCTATATTTACACTCCACCACACTCAGTCAATACCTCTCCCTCTAGAAAACAAACCTCCACAACTACTTCCCAAGCAAAGCTTGTTTAAAGATAGAAAGTCTGTGAATGCCCAAGTCCCTACCCTAACCGGACAACAAATTGTGTCTTAATCAACCAAATAGTATTTAAACTCCTCCCCTATCCTCCCCAAATAAGGTCATGTTGCATCTTCTCCATTAAAATCAGGATAGTAAATCAGGTAGGGTGGTTGGACAAATTACTCTTGATCAAAATAATTCGGCAACTTTAGAAAGATATATTGTCTCTTCCAACCTGCAAGGCGTTTCTGAAATCTGTTAAACCACCAAACTCCAAAGCACCTTCCCCTTGAAACAATACCAAGTGAAAGACAAGCTCAACCTTACACCCAAGAATGTCTACCAAGGCCTCCACACATTGCACCTCCCCAAGAGGAATTAGACTAGACTTCCCGATACTCACCTTCAAACCTCAAACTACCTCAAAACACAAAAGTATACATCAGAGATATCCCAATTGTTGCTCCACTGCCCCACAAAAGATGATAGTGTCATTTAGCAAAAAGAAGATGGAAAACCGCCAACATAGGTTTCATTGAGCTACCAAATTTCAAAACCTCCCAAGGAAGCCTTTTTGCACACCCTCTCTCTATCATCCTACTGAACACCTCCATAATGAAAATAAAAAGTGACGGGGACAATGGAACACCATGGTGAAGACTGCTCAAAGAATGAAAGAAGTTGTTGGGTAAGCATTAACCAAAACAAACAACCTAACCATAGAGATAGAGAATCTGATCTAAGACCTCCATCTGTGACAAAAACCCATCCTCTCCAATTAATAAAAATAAACTCCCAATAACCTGATCAAATGCTTTCTTAATGTCCAATTTGCACATAAGACTAGGGGAACAACTCAACCTCAAATCCACCACCTCATTAGGCACCAAAACTGCATCCAAATATGTTTCTCTCTAATATAGGCATTCTGAAGCGTTAACAAAGATTTATGGCCAAATTTGAGAAAACATAGAAAAAAAAACCAATTATGATACATATAGCCATGTGATAGAAGATCAAATTAACATATTCTATAGAGGAGCAAGGATACATGGAATTTTCTCCAAGTTGATCTTAAAATATCACTAGCAAGCAAGAAAATAGAATTAATGACCATCCATTATTCAAGCAAATACATATATTTCATATCAACCTGGGAGGAGAAACTAAGCGAGATGTCATCCATAGGATTAACGACCATCCATTATTCAAGATAGAATGTAATTTGGTATAGAGCTCAATGCATTTAATAGAAAAACATCATTTCTAGTACAGTTCGCAAATTGGACTAATAACATAATAAGACAAGCAGTGGCTTAGTTTGGTCGTCCATTTGAATGAATCTCTTTTCAACTTAGTAATAGTATGCATGTTGATTAGTCATAGAATTAAATATAAATGATAAATTATGTTACATGGACTCAGGTACGGGTACGGGTATGTATCTAGTGGCCGGACTCATCAAATCATAAATTTAAGGGTAAGCGGACTCGGTAAAAAAATGTCAATATTTTTATATTTTAATTAAGTATGTGAGATAAAATGATACTATATCTAACTTACAGTGTCACAAAGACATTTATAGCAATTATACAACAATATGTACATATAATAATAGTGTTATATACAATTATATAAGAAGTGTCCGTTGAAAAGTATCTGATACATATCCTATACCTTTGTCCGAGTGTTGGGTGTCCGACACAGGTATTTGATTTATTTGAAAGAGTCCATATAACATACATTCATAATCTAAAAATGCTGCTACAGTTAGTATTATGGTGTGGTGCTTCACATAACAACTGCACTTTTCTTTTCATTGATATCTAGGTGGAAGTAGAGAGAAAATTTCGGAAATTGGCGATAAATGAATTCTAACTAAAATTCTATTGGCAATAGAAAATTTATTATAACAGAATAGATTAAGTAGAATGATCAAATATCTTACAGGAACTGGTGCAAGATTGGAAAGGCGCCGACCAACTGCACCATCTAAGCTAGCATACTCTTCAGATAGTACAACAGCAATCATTCTGTCATCATCAACGTCCTGCTGACTGCTTAATGAAGTCGAGCTAGAAGATTCACCCACGCTCTGAGTTTCATTTCTCATAATGCAAATGGGCACCACGGTGTAGCCTCTCCAAGCAATGAACAGGCACAAAGTGAAAGTCAGCTGCAAGTGAAATAAGATTCAACAAGTAACTACCACTTTTCATGTATAGATTTCTTGACACAATAATGAAGATGATACCCTATTCAATTATTTCTAATCTATGACATCTTATGAGCATTCTTGAGTTGGCCATGACATAGCTTAAAGGACACCAGGGCAGCCCTAATTATGCCGTGGAATATGTGAGAAATATGTTATGAACTTCATTGAGATCCTCCTGAGTGTGATTTAAGTAAGTGCAACATGAGAAACGAACACACGAGGGAGACAAGTCATGATGACGCCCTGATATAATAACCACTGAAGCTCAAAACAACCTTAACTTATGATTCTCTGTGCATTAATGATTGACTGTCTAGTAGTATGCAGAAATACTGTAGCACCAAACCAACATGTGAATACAATGTGCAAAGATAGCCATCTTATCCATGACCCAGTCACGACTCGGTTTGCACATAACAGGGAGATCTATGAGAATGGTGAATGGATGAGCCGGTTTGATATGGTTGTATTACAGCAATAAAAAAAATTCAACACTAGGTTCCTAGAGTAGATCGGGCCTCCCCAGGACAGAAAAAAAGGGGATAGATATATATAGATAAAAATCAGCCACACCACACCACACCACACATTCTAAAGCCTAAAAGCCAACTGTATACGGACCCAATTCATGTCCCCCTGAGATGCATAAGTGGGGATTAAGTCTAACATAGCAACAAAGTAAAATCAATTCAATTCAATTCAATTCTATTGATCGCAGATGAAATTTGAATTTGATCGAGGAAATCTATATATATATAAAGCATGTAGATGGTTACATATTGTTTAATTTAACATCATAACAATTGCAATTTGAAAATTTCAGCAAGGCATGAAAAATCGAAAAAGAAAGGGACGGAGCTATTATTGAACGCGATGCGATCAAATCAAATCAAATCAAAATAGAGCTAATTCATAACAAACATGAATCGGAAATGCTTTCAAGAACCTGTCGGCTTGTTTGTTTCTTCTGCTTTCAAGAATCTACACAGAAATCCAAACACCTGTTATACAAATACAAATACAAATACAATCAAATATGAAAATAACAATAAAAAATGAGTAGATGATGCGAAACTTTTGAGAAGAAAAAACAAAGGAGTGAGTAAGAAGGGTTTTCTCACCCGAGAGAGAGAGAGAGAGAGAGAGAGAGAGAGAACAGAAACGGAAAAATGGCCCGACGAGAAGAGAATAGAATAGAAGAGAAGAGAAGTCAAGACAAGACAACAATCTCCGATCAAAATCTACGGATGGAGAGAGAGAGAGACGTAAGTTGGATCGTGAGTTTTTCCAAATAAATAAGTAAAAGACCATTTCCTTTCCTCTATTACCCTCCCAGCTTGCCCCCGATAATCCAATTGTGACGGGATCACTATCTTCTTTTAATTATTCATTCGTTATTTGTCAATGAATGCTGTCATTTGACGCGCTATTATGAGCTTACTTTTAAAATATCATTTTTTTTTCTTTATTTATTTATTTACATCACATTTTATTTTTTTTTGGTCAATTGTGATATATTAGTTATGGCTAAGTTTGATTATGGTCCGTCGATTGAAATTATAAACTATTTTTAAAGAATAATCTTGATCACTGTACGGGGAGGAAATAATTCTCCTCGTATAATCCTGTTGACCAAGTCCACGCTCCTCCGTACGACGTCGCTTTATCACCTGAAAACACAAACGTGAGCTAGCCGGCGGGTGTGTGCCGGAAACCCCTCCGATGCCTAAGTCAGAAAACTTGACAAATAGACAAAGCTCTATGTTCTCAGAAAAAATTGTATTCAATTACCTCCTCCAAGATGATGTTTGTGAGCTTTTATAAGTTTCCCGTGGCATAATCCTAGTAGGACTTGTATTTCTCCATGCAGAGTCCTCCTAGAATTCATACTCCTAAGGATAATGCTTATCCTTTTACACCCTCCCCCACTGCTTAAACCAAGTGGGATGGTTTTCTCCATGGCCGAATCACCATTTGACCGAAGTAACACTGGCTATGCTGAGCCACAGAGAAGACCGAACTATCCTTAGCTCAGCTTTCTCCCGTTCAACCATGGTATGCTGAGACCAAGCTTCTGAGTAGCAAGCTCCGACGGATCTAACCATAATACACCGCAACCGGACTAACATCAAGTTACCTCCAGACCGGAGTAGCTCTACACCATCTTGGGCCGAAGCAATTACACCTCTCCTAACCGGAGTAACCATACCTCTCCTGGGCCGGAATATCATTACGGCCTTTTTACTGAGTCCTTCACACTTTGGGCCAAGTCCATCTTACAGCTCGGTCCAATTCTCTCCAAAAATTACCCTCTCAATTGCCCCTTAAATCCATCTGCACAGCGTGATTGGGATTACCAGTCTACCAACCGAGCTGAAGTTTATTAAGCCTTTCCAGCCGAGCTAAAAAAACCCTTTAGCTTCTTCAGCCGAGCTAATTTTACGTCGGGCTTCACTCTGTTCGGTCAAAACGTCTCTTCAATCACAGCGACTGTAACGCTTCCCCTTCCAATGACACGTGGCAGATTCTGATAGGCTGAGGACGGCTGTCACGCCGTCTTTCGTACTTCGTGAATTTTGAACAGTCCCGCCCAAATTTTGGGCTTTCTCCATCCCTGAGGCTAGGTCTTTTCACTTTTGCCATTTCTTCATCTTCTCTCTCCGCTCTCTTGCTGTTCGTGTTCTTCTTTTTACTGCAACAGATTTTCAACTTCAGTCCCTTCTTCTTTAACCTGGTAAGCAAATCCACTTTCCCTTCATGTACAACAAGACTGACCCAATAGACTCAGTAAGAAAAGACTGACTCTGTACGACACAACAAGACTGACCCAATACCCAAGTCAGAAAGCACAAAAACTGGTATTTGCATATTGCTCAGAACAGTGCATGCCATTCCCACGTCTGGAGTTAATCGAGCGCCACCCGCAG